TGTGTAAAAGCAACTGTGTGTAAAAGTCTCTGTGTGTAAAAGCGTCTGTGTGTAAAAGCGTCTGTGTGTAAAAGCTCTGTGTGTAAAAGCGTCTGTGTGTATAATAAAAGCGTCTGTGTGTAAAAGTGTTTGTGTTAAAAGCGTTTGTGTGTAAAAGCGTCTGTGTGTAAAAGCTTCTGTGTGTAAAAGCCTCTGTGTGTAAACGGGTCTGTGTGTCAAAGCGTCTGTGTGTAAAAGCGTCTGTGTGTAAAAGCGTCTGTGTGTAAAAGCGCTTGTGTGTAAAAGCGTCTGTGTGTAAAAGTCTCTGTGTGTAAAAGCGTCTGTGTGTAAAAGTGCCTGTGTGTAAAAAGCGTCTGTGTGTAAAAGCGTCTGTGTGTAAAAGTGTCTGTGTGTAAAAGCGTCTGTGTGTAAAAGCGTCTGTGTGTAAAAGCTTCTGTGTGTAAAAGCGTCTGTGTATGTAAAAGTCTCTGTGTGTAAAAGTGTTTGGGTGTAAAAGTCTCTGTATGCAAAATCGTCTGTGTGTAAAAGCGTCTGTGTGTAAAAGTCTCTGTGTGCAAAAGCGTCTGTCTGTAAAAAGTTCTGTGTATGAAAAACTTTACAAAAATACGATGCAAACTATTGTCTTGTACTAGTCATATATTGTCTTGATACTACTCTTCTCGTCTGCCTATAATACATCTTTATCATATAGAATGGGCTAGCGCCCTGTGCCGCCGACCCCCCCGTTGTGGGGGTGGCAGGGCAGGATCAGTAAATAAAACCACAGGAGAAGTAAAGACTTTCAAGACCTACACGAAACAGACCGGTGGGAGCTCGAGTTGAGTCCAGTTTGTCTACCTGCGCATTTGGGAGGAGCTTCTAGGATTTTTCCAGAACAGGTCCTTGACGGGTGGGTTGCGCATCCTGGCACTACGTTCTGATGCTAAACCAACCTTCACTGTAGCAATTTCTGGCCGCAATGGTATCGGTTCGAAGTGTTACTTCCATTTGGGCAATGTTTTGTCGTTGGGATTATGTTTCAATTAGTGAAGAGGCAGCAAAGGATGTGAAAAGAAACCTGAACAATTGAACGTTTCTGCTATGTGCTGCATTTCAATTCAACAACGAAAGTTGGTCAGCCTGTGCTGCATTTTATATATCTATATATATATATCCGAGCCGCGGAGGGTTTTAGGGGTTTTAAGGGTTTGAAGGCTGGCAAACGGCAGGCTCGAATGTCCTAACGAGAGAGGGCTATGTGCAGGCAAAGGAGGGTTTTAGGCATTTTAGGGGTTCAGAGGGCTTGGTGGAAGCTGCCGCGGAGCGTTTTAGGGGTTTTAAGGGTTTGAAGGCTGGCAAACGGCAGGCTCGAATGCCCTCACAAGAGAGGGCTATGTGCAGGCAAAGGGCAGGCTGCAACCCTGGAGCAGCAAAGGCTGACGGCCAGAGGGCTTGGTGGAAGCTGCCGCGGAGCGTTTTAGGGGTTTTAAGGGTTTGAAGGCTGGCAAACGGCAGGCTCGAATGCCCTAACAAGAGAAGGCTATGTGCAGGTAAAGGGGAGGCTGCAATGCTGGAGCGCTGACAGCCAGGAGCTTGGTGGAAGCAAAGGTTGACGGCCAGAGGCCTTGGTGGAAGCTGCCGCGGAGCGTTTTAGGGGTTTTAAGGGTTTGAAGGCTGGCAAACGGCAGGCTCGAATGCCCTAACAAGAGAGGGCTATGTGCAGGTAAAGGGCAGGCTGCAATGCTGGAGCGCTGACGGCCAGGAAGCAAAGGCTGACGGCCAGAGGCCTTTTGGTGGAAGCTGCCGCAGAGGGTTTTAGGGGTTTTAAGGGTTTGAAGGCTGGCAAACGGCAGGCTCGAATGTCCTAACGAGAGAGGGCTATGTGCAGGCAAAGGAGGGTTTTAGGCATTTTAGGGGTTCAGAGGGCTTGGTGGAAGCTGCCGCGGAGCGTTTTAAGGGTTTTAAGGGTTTGAAGGCTGGCAAACGGCAGGCTCGAATGCCCTAACAAGAGAGGGCTATGTGCAGGCAGGCTGCAACCCTGGAGCAGCAAAGGCTGACGGCCAGAGGCCTTGGTGGGATGCGCAGGCAAAGGGCAGGCTGCAACCCTGGAGCAGCAAAGGCTGACGGCCAGAGGGCTTGGTGGAAGTTGCCGCGGAGCGTTTTAGGGGTTTTAAGGGTTTGAAGGCTGGCAAACGGCAGGCTCGAATGCCCTAACAAGAGAGGGCTATGTGCAGGTAAAGGGCAGGCTGCAATGCTGGAGCGCTGACAGCAAAGGCTGACGGCCAGAGGCCTTGGTGGAAGCTGCCGCGGAGCGTTTTAGGGGTTTTAAGGGTTTGAAGGCTGGCAAACGGCAGGCTCGAATGTCCTAACGAGAGAGGGCTATGTGCAGGCAAAGGAGGGTTTTAGGCATTTTAGGGGTTCAGAGGGCTTGGTGGAAGCTGCCGCGGAGCGTTTTAGGGGTTTTAAGGGTTTGAAGGCTGGCAAACGGCAGGCTCGAATGCCCTAACAAGAGAGGGCTATGTGCAGGCAAAGGGCAGGCTGCAATGCTGGAACGCTGACGGCCAGGAGCTTGGTGGA